TTAAATAATATAATATTTTATTTTTTAATATTTTAAATGACATAATTTATGCTATATTATTAATTTTAAATTTTGATATTGTAAATCATTATTAGAGAAGTGAACTGGAAAATCCTTTTGGTTCCTCACATGGGACGGGCAGAAATTCTTGGCCTAAATATTGGTTGTTTTTGCACTCCACAAGATCTCTATTTTATCTGATGTAAAATGCTTTACCTAGTTAGGCCACGGGCGCCCTCAACTCAACTCTTGTAGGAAAACTAGGCCTTTTTTAACTCACAAGAAACGCACAGTGCATACGTGTTGGACTTAAACCTCAAACCCAAAGGTTTAATCTAGTAGGATAGAGAATTGGATTCATATGTCATTAGTTGGCCTTAAAGTTTTTCTATAACTTTATCAAATGCATGGCTACTATTAAACAAAAAATATCAAGATATTTTAATTTTTTTTCATATATATATAAAAGAGAAATTCATTCACACTTACATAAAATCTTAATTTACGTATTATATTTACATAAAATCTTAATAATTCATCTCTTTATTTTTAATAGTTAAGATTTTTTATGATTTTTTAAGTAAAAAAGATAAATATTTTGAATAAATTTTAATAATTAAAAGTAAAAAAAATAATTGAGAGTTTTATATTAGTATAATATGTAAAATTTATGTAAATGAATCCCTATTTATATATATATACATATTTTCCACAATAGCTTCATTGTTGGTGGTTGTACTGTTCCCTCCTAAGCTGGATTCAAATTATGCTGTTAGGTTGCTCAAAAGGTTACGACGATTTGCAAAACTATTCATCTTAAATCTCCCAATTCACGTGTGACTTGTGTTATGGTGTTTAAATGTTGTGGGTAAAAAATATGTATTCGATTTATTGCAGCAAGTCAGTTTGACGTTAAGTTTTATCATTATCATTTTTGTCTTCTATTATTACAGGCGTCTTAATCTTGTCTTTTTCCTTTTAAGGATTTGTTCCATTAGGCGTCTTAATATCCATGAAATAAACCTATGCCAGTTGGCTGGTTTCAGTGAGATGTGTAAAGAATTTGTGAAAGAGTAAGAAGTGTAATGGACCAGACAAGTTTTTGGTTCTTCAACTGGGCCAGCTCAGAAAATTCTTGGGCTGAATGTTGGTTGCTTTGTATTTCTTTCTTCTTTTTTGGTAAATGGTTGCAACTTGTCACTGGCTTGCTTTATATATTAAGCCAAAAGATTGGCAACATGTTTACGATCCTATTCCCCTTGGATTAGGTTTTTCAACAGCATTTTAGGTGTGATTAATGACACTTTAACGACAACAAAAAAAAATGTATATAAAATGACTATTCAACCATTATATTAAAAATAGAAATATTTTATAGATCACATTCTTAAAATTTTTTAAGAATATATTTAAAAATTTATTTTTTAATTAATATTTTAAGAAACTAATTCTTAAATTAACAATTCTATTCATATAAATTATGTATATTAATTTTTAAATTATTTTAATAAACTTAA